TCGTAACTGGTATTTTTTATTAATGCTGAGGCAAAAATGTGTTAGCCAAATGTATCAACCAAACCAAGCAATTCTCTGCATATCTACCATATATTATCACATATATGTTACAACCAGCAATCCAAGTCATTAATTAAGCAGGGTTCTCTTATGTGTAGATTATGCTGGCAGGTTAATTATGGTTACCAGGTTACTGAGTCAATAAATGAATGAGGGAAACAGATTGCATACCTATAAAAAGTTGTGTGAAATTGGAAAAGGAATAGAGGGGATATACTAAGGCAGTTTAAGGGGAGATGTCATAAATTTGAATTTAGGCAAAAACATGGATTAGTTTCAAGATCTGTTTGAAAAAAAGAAAAAAATATTGTAAATGCTAATTGCAAGGAATAATAGAATAGGAATAATAATAGAAATAATAAAGTTATGCTTTTCTTCCCCAGGTATTGGTACTCTGTATAAATGTATTCTCTTTTTATGCCCTCATCTTACTCAGTCTGCAAGAGTTGCATCTGCTCTGTAGAGTCTTTTCCCCTGCCTGAATTTGCAGGGCTATTGAAGGTGTGATAAAATACTTGCTTCTCTTCTGCAAAAAGTTTCAGGACTAGTTCGCTCAGAGCCAAGACCTTCCTTTTTGTGTTTGATACGCTAAATTACATTTACATATGTAAATATGTTGATATTTACCAAAAGAGTAAATATAATATAAATTGTTTCCATTATTTCTGTTGCATTAGAATAATTTTTGTAAAAACATATTCACTAATAATTAGCTCTAAAATTGGCCTCTCAACTTTGGTCACTGAAGGGAAATAGTTCGCTGGTTTCTAGCAGAAGAGACACCATTTAAAATGAAGGAGATTACTCAGAAAGGCTTTGGTTTCTTCATTCACATTGCCTATGAGAAACTCTTTCAGAGATATCGTGGGCTGATAATATGTTCTTGACATAACTCTTCCTCAGCATAGGGGGAGCTGAAGGGTATTTACTCTTGCTGTAATTTCAAACACTGCTGGACTGAACACATGCTGCTGCCAATAACGTGGGTAGCAGTTATTGGCCATGCATTGAGTTCCCACTTCTGTACTCTTCCACTAAGCAGCACAATGAAACAGTTGATTTTTTGGTTATGTCTCCATTCCCTAGTTCACTGAATGATACTGGAGTTATATCAGAAAGGAATCTGACAGATAGAAAAGGTGGTAATTTGACAGAGCTATTTCTGAGGAGTGAAGCTTAACACAGAATATTCAGTGTTGTGGTTTAAGCCATTCAGGTTGGAAAGGTTGTAATTTGTGGTAATGCCAAGGAGCACAGAGTTGCATGGTGATCTAGCGCTGCAGGGCACTTGCACCCTTGTGCTCTTAGAGTCATCTTTTCTAATAACAAAAGCATGAAACGGTGCCTTGGGGCTCTCCAGCGGAGCAGGGTGGCCAAGGGCATGGGTCTCCTCTGCTTCCAGTTGTGGTGGTTGAAAAAGCTACTGCTCCCAATTGCACATCACAGCATCTTTGCTGGAAGTGTTGGTCCTCCTGACCCATCAGAGCTCAGTGAGCTACTTGGACCACCGTTCCTTAGTCTGGCTGAGTTCTCAGAGGCAGGATTAACTAAAAGCCTTCAGATAATGTCTTTACTGACTTAGTTCTTTCTGACATACACAGCTAGAGAGTACTTCCATGTACAGTGCACCTGGCAAATTTGAGGGGTCTCCAATAATGAGATAGTAACCTTTGGGTCAGAAGAGAAGATACATTTGGCTAACAATCTTGTGTGCAAGACCTTCTGTGTTCTGGCTGACCACTTAAGTTATTCTTCCCACCATCCATTTTGGTCACCCTGGAAGATAACTGGTCTTTGATCCATGTGTGACCATTAGCACTTCATCCCTCTGTGTCACTTTCGACCTTTTCATTTGGTTTTTTTTTCATCTGTTTAAATTGTAAACTTCTTTAGAAGAAGGTGTCTCTGTTTTCAGGACGCCAAGCAAAACAAAGCCCCAATCTTGTTCAGGTCCTTCAGTTTCTGCTGAAATAATTAATTAGGTTTTGTGTGAGGTATTGCAAAGTGCCTAGAGACTGCTAGATATGCCTACACGGTTGCTGCGGTGCACCTTGGCCAAATTGTTGTTTGTAAAGCAATTTTGTCTCTAATGTAAAAGGCACTGTATAAAATCAGTTCCTATTATCTTTTCACAGAGAATTTTCCATCTGAATTGTAAGCTTAGAATTGCTGACTATCTCCTTAAACACTCCCAGATAATAATGATACATGTTCTTCCAGCTAATGTATATCATTACTTTTTATCAAGCAAGGGTTGGTTCATAGCTGTAGAAGTAATATGATTTACTGGCCTCCAGCCAATCAGTTAATTACCTGCTAGTTACTTAAAGCACCTGGGGCTTTGGTTCGTTTCAGTGTAAGTTATTAACTTGCTGGTAAAGGATCAGTACCTCATAAATAGTTTCTCTAAATAACTTTACAATCCTGCCAAAGTTTAATTTTCTAAAATTATTTATTCTTGTAAGAATAAATATGTGGGGGACAACTTAAATTGCAGTTATATCAGGCAACTATTTTGATTTGAGATTTCAAGTAGTAGCTCTATATCCATGTGAACTGCATACAAGTGTCATAAACCTGTTACTTAGGCACCTTCTGGTCTTTGGGAGAATCTGAGTAGTTTTACATGTACCAGACTGATTGAAGACTGATTTGTTTTGCAATAGTTAGTTTGTTTTGGTTTTTGGTCATGTTGTTTTAAAATAGTAAGATCAGGTGAAGAGATCTTAGGTCAGACTTCACTTGTAAATTATCTCAATGGACTTACCACAGTTGAGGCTCTGGCTGTCTTAAAGTAATTGAGACAGATAATAGACTCTTTCATCTTTCTTTTTCTGTATCTCATCCCTTCTTTTTTTTCCCTAGAAGTCATAAGCTGCTTATTTGTTTAAAATGTGGGAGAATAGATGTAAAAATCACTGTTCTCAGAAGGAAAAAGCTGGGGCTGTCTTTGACCCAGGAAGCATCCTTTAGGCAGGTTCTGTACCCAAAGTTAGAAAGTAATTTTTCTGCAGCATTCTTATGGTTTTGGCTATAAAAAATGTCTGAACTGATGAATTGCTTTTGTAGCTCAAGGGGAGAGAAAATATTCTGTAATTGCTTAGGTCCTAGGCCTTGCTTATATGCCTTGTATCTGCTAAATAAACCGATGGCCCGGATAGCTAATTTAAGGACACATATTACACACTCTTCTTGCAGTGGACCATTACTAAATTCTGTGTGAGCTGAACTCCCTGAGAGAAGTTAACAAATATGCCCAGGTGAAAGGAATTACATTAATCCAGTTTCAGTTGTAACCTCAAGTGAGAGGAGAAGTTAAAAGCATCCAATCAAACACGGTGGGCAAAACCAGTTGTTCTTTTTGTCTTGCGATGTTTATATTCATCAGGATGGGTGAGAAACCTGGCAAGAGCCTGAAGCAGTGAATCACCGTGGTAAGTGGCTGTCCAGCTACCATAATTTAGAAATGATCTCAGCTAATAAGATTTGTCAGGATCAAATCTGCTTGACCTTGTCTTGTTAATGTGGGTTTGGATGGTGCCTGGAAGGAGGGGGCGAGATAGGATGAGACAGAGCAGAGGACGGTCTGTGCAAGAAGGCTGAGAAAGGTAGTGCGTGCCGTAGTGGGTACTGTAATATGGAGAAGAGAGAAGAGGGGTCACTGGAGCGGGAGCAGTGCTAGAAGAGATACTGAGGAGCGCAACACTAGTTCTCCTGCCCTGCGCATTCTTGCAGCCTGCAGGAAAAAAGCTGCTGTACCCAAAGCTACCTGCGGTGAACCGGTAGCTTTGGGCTGCCCTGCTTTCTTCTTTTTTTCCAAAAAGCCTCAGCCGAGGTTGCATGGTACTGCGTGGTGGATGTAGGCATACAGAACATTCGCTGTGGTGGGAGTTCAACAGCCAAATAAGAAAGAATGGCTTAACGATGAGAGCAGGTATAGAGATGAACTTTGTTGTCCTGGTTTGTACAGGCTGGCTAAGTTGATGGCTAAGCTAGGGGGAGAGGTGGATTGCCCACCTAATGAGCACCAAAAGGAAAAATGTAGGTTTGTATCACTGCTGAGAGGTGGTTCTGACTGAGAAATAAACACCAAAGCAAAGTGGCTTTAGCTGAAAATTGGATTCTCAGCAGCAGGAAGTGCCTGATCTGATTGTTTATACCTTTTTTTCCCAAAACTTGGGCAGGCTGTTCCTTTTCTTTGTCTCTCCTCTTTTTCCCTTTCCCCTCCTCCTCCCTGATACTCTGACTTTCAGCCCTCTCAGGTCTACCACTTGGTCCCTCTTTGCCCACAGACCTGGAAGGAACGCTCCGCTTTAGTGTAGCAGCGACAGCTTCTTTCATCTTGCGTGCTGCAGTTATCTGACTTGTGCATCTCAGAGCAAAACTGATAAAGACTGCTAAGATAAGATGGTAATTTTCAATCTTTAACAGCTCATTGTATTTTAAAAATCTCATTGAAGAACCATGTATTAGTTAAGCATCCCTATTAATCATCATTTATGAATAAACTATGCCAATTTATGTCTGATTTTGTAATACTGGTGTTAGACTTTTCTCTTTTCTCTGATTTAAGTCTATATAAACAAAGGGATCACAAGAGGACAGCATGTCTGTGCTTGTTTAAAATCAACTGGAATTAGTGGCACGTGCCCTTTGCAGTCCCCAAGTTACGTGGAAGCACTGAAAGTTATTGTGGTTTTGTTCCTTTTGTGTCAGGGTAGTTCAAGTTTTAAAGCCAAGACCTAACAGCCCTGCTTTATAGCAGATGATTCAGTCTGTGAAACAGTATAGGAACTGTAGTAGAGTTATCATTTTTGTGTCATAGGAGGGGAAAAAAAGAGAAAACAGATATTGTCATCCCAAACCTTCCCCCCCCCCCCCCAGTTTTTATGCAGGTCATTATAGAGCCACCATTGTGAACTTTTTGCCTGGCTGAGAAGATGGTTAGGTTTAAGGTGCAAGTTCCCACTTGTTCAGGCAAGTACATGGCCCATACATGGAGGATGGGCCCTTTTCAGGTTTTGAATACTTGCCTCCCATGTAGTTTAAGCTGACTAGGCAGGAAGTTAGGATGGACAGAAACAAGGTGAAGATTGGCACTAGTCTGATAAAACCAGCTCAAATGTCTATTTAGAGAAACAAGGGAAGTAGTGATGTATGGGGAGCTAAAAGCTGTATGAGATCTCAAGTTTATTCCCTACGCTGCAATGAACAATTGAGTTTACACAGAAATGTCAGTAATGGAGTAACTGGTTGTGGTTTTTTGTTTATAATGCCAATACACTGATGTTCTGTTTCTTCACTTGCAGCTGCACTGAGAGCTTGTGCCGATGGAGGTGCCAATCGTCTCTATCACATCACAGAGGGAAGCAGGGACAGGTATGTTAACAATAAACTTGAAGTCATAGAAGTCATCTTTTCTCAATGGAAGTAAAATACGGAGGAGCAGGATCTGTTCAGTTCCTGAAGTAGCTGCCTGCTCTGGGCATGGTACTTTAATGAGCTGTGGCAGGTAGTATAATATTTTCTCCACATTATCTTATATTCTCAGCTACAATTTTTAAAAACACACAGGTAGCCTGAAATACCTTTTTTCCTTAAGCCCACTGGTCTTTTTTCCCCTTGAAAGCTCTGCTCTCAGTCTGTCTTATTTTATGCATCCATCAGAGCTAGGCCTTTGATGCAGCCTCCGAAAAACTTGCTGTGCCCCTAGCAAGGGTTGACTAGAGGAACATCTGATGCCTCTCACCAGGAGCTGAAACACAGTATGTCCTCTTCATTCTTGTGAGGCCTTAGACGAAATCGGTTTGCTTTGTGAAGTAAGATGGGTAATAAAATTGGAAGTCTACTTTTCTTTTTGAATTACTTCTAAATTAGCATCAGGGCATCATACCTGACAAAAGGCAAATACAGAGGTTATCTATAAATGTATATGCTAGGTGAGGAGATACGACTGAAAGACAAATATTTTCTTGTTTTCTGTAATGGCACTTAAAATTGTAAAATATCCCAGGTTTCTGCCCCAGCAGTGTTTAGCTGGGGTTGTGATGTGAAATACTGCATTCAAGTGCTTTCTCATTTTTGTAGTGGAACCATGGAACACTGTGTAATCTGAGGTTACTAAGCATCCTTTTTGTTTGTCTTTAGGATTTTCAGTTGTTTTGAGCAAGAATTCGTAAATAAATAGTTTAATAAAAGCAAATAAATGAATAAAGCTGACTCTTGGGGCAAAGGAATGAGACAGGTATTTGGTAGAACCTACAAACTTATGAACAATTTTGTTCATACAGCAAAATCTGACACATATTTTGTGTTTCATCTCATGGCAAGTGTATGACGGAAGCCTGGGGAAGCTTGGTTTCCTCCTGTCCTATAGAGTAAAGACCAGAGTTGGAGAGGAAAACTGTAATCTTAAAGTAAAAGTTAATTTAAAATTTCTTCCTTTGTCACCTGTGAGAAGTTTGATGTCCGAGATCTACAACTGCTAAAACCAAGACTGGAATCTGTCAAGCACTGCTAACTGTTGTAGGAGTATTCCTTCTGTAATCTTTTATTTATTTTCTCCTAGTAGTTGCTCACAGAGCCACGCAAGGGTAAAGGAATTTGGCAGAAAATAAACCCCCTTGCATTCCAGCTTATCCTCAGATGTCAGAGGGCCTGGGGGCGGCTAGGTTTAGCTTCTGAGTGATGTCCAATTCAGCACTATAAGTCCAGTTGCACAATGATGGATGCACTTATAGCACACTGCACTCTTGGCTTAGCCGTGTTCAATGCACGAGAATTGCCAGACTTAGGGAGTTTGGTTGCGTTAATGAACTATCACGGCTAGGTTAATGAGCAGCGCAGTTTATTAAAGCAACGGTACAAGTTCTTTTGGATTGCCGATGATAAATACACTGTCTGCAAAGCACGTGCAAATAACAATAGAGTCAACTACAAGCATATAAAATTATGAAAGAAAAGAGCTCTAAAGGATTCTAAGTTTCCCGGGGAAGCACTCAGTACAGCCAAGTATTCAAGTCTCACCCAATAGGCGTCCCTACGGCAGGGAAAGAGAAGTTCAGCCTCTTGGCTGATCCCAGAAGTCAGCAATGTCCTCCCGACTTGTCTATGATGGTATCTTCTCTAACAATCTTCCTCTTTTGAGGTCTTTTTGTACTATTTTTCCTTTCAGGTGGAGCTCGAGTGACTCTAGTCATACATACCTTTACTTTGATTCGTGTAAAGTTCTCTCGCTTTGATTTTAAAGGTACATGCTAGAAAAAATTCAGAGTGCATGCTCCATGGGGGAGTGGTTGTACCTTAGAGGTGGGTTTTGGTATTATAATGATATTATAATGAGCAAAGTTCACCCAAAGGACATGGTGTTGCATGCCAATACCCCAGAAGTGGGCACATGTGATATAAATCAGAAGTAGGGCATTAGGTCGACAGAACCCCCATTATTTTACCTCCTTGCTTCAGTGGATTCAATGCAGGGACCAACTGTTCTCGTTCCTATCGTCCCAGTTCCCTATCCCTGCAATCACAGAGCCTGGCTGCAGCATCTCCACTCCGCTCCACCCTCCGTGTTACTTTTCAGAGTCAGCATACCAAGTTCCCCTGGTGTTGCCAACATCTAAAGTTGCAGGTTATGTTGCTTAGGGAACTACCACGGAACCAATTCTTTACATGTCCACTGTATTCCACCCTGGAGGTTCACCTTCCCTTAAAGTGCGGGAGGGGTATCATATCGATAAGTCACCTCCAGCAATCATTCCACAACAACTTAATCCTGAATTCAAACAGAAATTTGTTTGACTTGCATCAAGCAGTTCTCTTTGATAATGGTGATGCTTTCCAAAGAACAACATGTTAGAGCTTTCATTTTACCTTCTCCTGTAACCCATTCATCTCTTCTACACACCTTTATATTCGTGTTAAATAAATATAATTCAGGGGAAAATGGATGATTATACCTTGACTGAATAGCTCTTTTAGTCTTACATACTTGGCCCTTGGAGTATTCTTTGCCTCTGTCTTTCTTCTTCTCATCTTAATTGCTTTGGGTAGGTATATTTTACCTTCAAAGTGATTCTTTTGAAACAAAAAAAAAGACCTGCATGATTTTTATTTTTGTCTTTAAAGAAGTCATTCTGCTGGAAGGAATATCCATTTACTTCTCTGAAGTATTTTCCCTTAAATTCCCTGTCCAGTGTTATTAAAGAGCTGTCTGCTCAGACTCTACTGACATACTAATAATTTCTTTAATGCTGTCTTAACCTTCTGTTTAAAACCCTATTTTATTCAAAGCCCTGATATCTAATTGTGTTGTATCAAAACCTAAAAACTATAGTCCTTTAATTCTAGAGAGATTATTATATCCAAGAGATACAAATAAATAACTTGATTGATATTTTGGGCTTGATTCTCAGTGACACCAAAGTGTGTGAAGAATCTTTTAGAATGGGAATAAATGCAACATCCTGGGAAAAGGAGAGCTTGACATATGGGACTGTTACAGCGGTGTCTTCCTTTGGAGATAAGTGAAGTAGTTGTTGCTATTTTGAAGGGTCCACTTCCAAATCCTAGAAAAATACAGGGCTAGAAATGACCTCAAGAGATCCATCCTTCTTTCCCTCAGCTTGAAGGTGAAGACAAACCTATGTGTTCCATTCCCGATGTATACCTATTTAGCTGGTTCTTAAAAATCTTCACGTGGGAGCCCCCCCCCCGCCCCATCCAGCTTTCTCTGCTTTAGGCTAAAATATGCCGAGTTTGTTTGGTCTTTCTTTATTGGTCATCTTTTCTTATTGCTCTTCTTGGCCTCTCTTCAGTTAGTCATAACTATCTCAAAGTGCTGTGGCTGAAGCTAGGCAAGATGCTCTACAGGAGATTTACCCAGTGCTGAACGATTCTGTAACTTGCTTCTCATGTTATGCTCGGCTTATGCTGTTGAATGAAAAGCAGCAAGACCAGATTCAAGGCCCCCCCATCTCCTGCCTCCATCGGTTTCCTGTTTTCTTCATTGGTGTCTTGACTTGTTTCTGTGCTTGAGTGGTTCACCTATTCCCATCAAGCAAAGGAAGCTCTCACTTTCCTCTCTATAGCGCTGCGCAGGCTGACTCAGCAATGTGACTTCAGGTCATGGGATTAACATGCGTAAGATGTTATATGTCTTCATCTGTGTTTGTGGTGTCATTTTTATGATGTTTGGTTGGTTTTCCCGTAGGTTTCTGTAAAAACTAGCTCAACAAATCTGAATTGCAATTATTCTTGTTTAAAAACAAACAAACCAACCAACCAACCCATCCAAGAAAACCTTCATATTTGTAACTACTAATGAGGAGAAATCATGCTGGTTTTTCCAATGATATATTAAAACAAATTGCCTTCTAGAGCAGGAGGGGTAGGAAGAGTAACCAAAAGGGCAGGATAACTTTTCCTTGGAGAGGCCCATCCTTGGGAGCTGTCAGTGTTGGGGACAGAGGAAAGGCAGCAGGGAAGAAGGGACGGACTCCTGTGCGCTGTTGCTTTTCTCTCTCTGGCCCTACAGCCCAGAAATGCTACTGCTAAACTGTTCTTGATTGCTAAACACTTGCAATTAATCAGAGCTAAAGGTGAGTTACTGATCTTTATGGTTTTTTTGCTCTGCCTTATTCTGTCTGCCTTGCCTATCCTGTTGTGTATTTCCTTGAGTCACTATGAAGCGCTGTTATCCACCTCAGAGTTAGGTTGTTGCTTATCTGTATCACACTACAGCAACTTCTTTCTCAACACTTTCTGATTAAATCTTAAGGCATCGATTAACCTATGTGTCACTGGCTTTGGGGTATATGAAGGTGAAGATGCATTGAAAACTATCATCGTATTGGCACCTGTAAAAACAATCATTAGTACTTAGGTCTCAGATGCTATTTTCTAGAGAGATATCAAATCCATCGTGTACTCGGGTTTTGCAACATTAAGAGCGTCAGGTTAAAGAGGGGAGCGGTGAGCTCTATAAGAGAAAGGATAATCCTATCATAAAAAATACTGGCTTTCTGGGGTTCTGGTTAGTATTTCAGTGTATCGGACTTACAGTATGACATGAGGTGGGTTGCCTACAATCGCTAAGAACATCACTTTCACTACCCTTCTAGTTTCTTTCTGTCAGCTGCATAAAGTATAAGAGTAGCAGTGAAACTGAAAAATGATTGTGTATTTTGATGTAGCATTTTCTACATATAAACATAGATGAGGTGAACTTATGTGATGCATGAAAATGCAGTTGCTACTATATAATTCTTCTCTGAACTGGGCATGCAGGGAAGCAGCTCCAGGGAGCTCTACATGTGTGTTTGAACATTCGGAACAAATTTTGTAAATATTTCTGGTTGATGTAGCTGCTAAATTTCAAA